ACTGTTCTGATGAAGAGTCGATTTTTCAAATGATCAAATTTGGATCATACTTCCTGCGGTACATTGTTTCTTATGTATACTTACATAATCCGTTTTAGGGTACGTTGTTTAAGTTATCGTGTTATAAAGGGTAAAATACACAAAACACGCAGCCTCACCTAAACAAAACACCTGTTCTCCTGACCACGTGTGGTTCATTTGACAAGTTCTGTTTGACGATCCGATCAAGCTATAACCGGGCTTACAAAAGAAGTGAACGGTGTCTCTTAAGTTGTACGAACTTCCTGATTTAACTCCACCGACTGGGACACCAGGATCAGGACAGTAATAGTCTTGGAAAAAAAAAAAGAATTAACTTAAAGATGTGTTTATATAACAAAAAAAGTACAGAAACAGCATCATAACCATAACAGTATGTTAAGTAAAATGCAACTCTGCAACTCAGAGTGCTGTTAAGCACGGCGCTAAACAATGGGCTATTTGTGCTATTCCCACCAGACTTACCGCCAACACACTGGATGGGGGGGGGGGGGCACACAATTGAAGGAAGCAACACAACATAATATTACACTATTTTTAACATGCTTATTATAAGTCTTTTGCCAGATAAATCAGTAGTAGGCTTAAGACATTTATAACGCTTAAATTCGGGATTCGACCACTGCGGCGAGAACAGCACAGATAGCCAGTTGTACACCTTTACATCCAAACAGACAAATAAGAACTTCTGATGTAGAAATGCGGATATTATTTGAGTATTAATAACACAGTTGTCCAAGTTAATTCTGCATAATGACATCGTTCTCACACATTCATCTAAACAAACACATAAAATAAAATTGACAATACTGTGAAATGGAAAACAAAGAGTAGAACTCAAACAAAGACATTTATAGACAAACCTTTACGGTAGCCTAAATAGTACTCAAACAAGGACATTTATAAACAAACCTTTACGGTAGCCTAAGTAGAACTCAAACAAACACATTTATAGACAAACCTTTACGGTAGCCTAAACAGTACTCAAACAAAGAACTTAGGTTACCGTAAAGGTTTGTCTATAAATGTCTTTGTTTGAGTTCTACTTAGGTACCGTAAAGGTTTGTCTGTAAATGTCTTTGTTTGAGTTCTACTTAGGCTACCGTAAAGGTTTGTCTATAAATGTTTGTCTATAAATGTCTTTGTTTGAGTTCTACTTAGGTTACCGTAAAGGTTTGTCTATAAATGTCTTTGTTTGAATACTATTTAGGCTACAGTAAAGGTTTGTCTATAAATGTCTTTGTTTGAGTACTACTGTAAGCTACCATAAAGGTTTGTCTATAAATGTCTTTATTTGAGTACTACTTAGGCTACCGTAAAAGTTTGTCTATAAATGTCTTTGTTTGAGTTCTACTTAGGTTACCGTAAAGGTTTGTCTATAAATGTTTTTGTTTGAGTACTATTTAGGCTACCGTAAAGGTTTGTCTATAAATGTCTTTGTTTGAGTTCTACTTAGGTTACCGTAAAGGTTTGTCTATAAATGTCTTTGTTTGAGTACTACTTAGGCTACCATAAAGGTTTGTCTATAAATGTCTTTGTTTGAGTTCTGTTTGAGTACTACTGTAAGCTACCATAAAGGTTTGTCTATAAATGTCTTTATTTGAGTACTACTTAGGCTACCGTAAAAGAAAGACATTTATAGACAAACATTTATGGTAGCCTAAGTAGTACTCAAACAAAGACATTTATAGACTAACCTTTATGGTAGCCTACAGTACTACTCAAACAAAGACATTTATAGACAAACCTTTATGGTAGCCTACAGTACTACTCAAACAAAGACATTTATAGACAAACATTTATGGTAGCCTAAGTAGTACTCAAACAAAGACTTTATACTTTATAATAGTCTGCAGTAGTAGTAGTAAAAAACAAACACATTTTCCATCCGTTAACGTTTTTTTTTTCGGCTAAATTGGCACCCAAAATAACCATTTTACTATCTTTTATCGATAAGTGACATTTTAATACTAAAGCCTATCAGGCAGACTCCGATACGTATGCTGAAGGATAAATTTCAAACCTCAGACGGTGTGAAAGGCCAGAAGATAGTGCTGGTTTAAAGTCCTAAGTCCGCAAGGTGAACTAACAAACTGACCTGGGTTCAAGTAAATCTGTATTATCTAATACATTTATCAACTCACTCTTTAATAAACTCTGATGATAAACAATGATCTAAATAAGAACTATACAGTGTTTATTGGATTATCTATATTCACAACTTTCTTTTAAAAAAATCTTTGAAAATTATCTACTAATAACTTCACTTGTGGTTTACCCAAACCTAAAATAAATATTTACACTGCCTATTTTTGGTACCTACATAATCACCATATTTAGAATTTTTCCCCTAGTCGTTTGTCCGAAAATATTAACTTTACCAAGTTTTGGAATGCATTAATTTTCTGCGTTATCAATTCCAAAAATGTATGCATTATAGTTATAGACTTAATATAGATAAATGAGAACCGATATAAACTGAGTTCATATTAGGCAGGAATGTCCTGGTGGTTAGAACACTCGAATTGCAATCAGCGAGTTTGAATCCCATCACAGAACATGCTCACCCTCTGATCCTGGGAGACAACGTAAGATGAAGGTTAATCCTACTATTCAGTTAGAGCAGCCCAAAAGTTGGTGGCCCTCCCTCTAATATGACACTTCTACATTAGGGACCTCTAGCGCAGATAGCTTTCGAGTAAGTTTGTGCGAAATTCCACAAACAATCAAATCTGGGATATTAAAATATAACGAACAATAGATCACGTATTATTCTAAAGGTTCCTTAGATGTTGATGTATTAATTTACTGCTTTCATTATGATAAAAACAAACGATGAATAAACGTGAATTATGTACATGCATTGTCTCAAAAGAAAAAAACCAAATTCCCACACCGATTTTAAATAACTGACTTTCTTATTTTTAATACTTTTTGTAGCATCAAAACTTTCTATATTACTATAGCTAGCTAAGTTACGTATATATATATCGATCCCTACTTGTCTTTATAAAATTTGATTTTTTTTACTATACTTGTTTGTTTCCTTTTTATTAGCTATATTTTTGTGCGCCAGCAATACCAAGCGTGGAGCGTGCGTAAACCCGATTCGATTTTATTACTCATCAGGATCTCTACCAACCTACCCTTAAATTTCATTATATAGCTCATAGTCAGTTTTATATATGCATTCTAGTATACTTTTTGGTACAAGAAAGGAATCATTGGGACCCCAGAAAAAAGAATCCTGTGAAAGAATTAGAGCCAAAAGGTTCGTCGTTTTTTTTGTTGTTTTTTTTTCTACGCTCGTCTGGAAAAGTCACTTATTTATTTACTTAGATGAAAGTTCATTGAAATAGTGAAATTTTGATTCACTCCATTAACACGTATATAGCGATTTAGGCGGCTTTATAAGTACAATAGGCTTTAATTTTGTTCAGCAAATACTGTGAAATAGTCATTGTTAATATTCAGACATTTTAAAGATGGTTTTAAATGGGCGATTTTATGGCCTCCATTTTGTTTCATCGCGATCCCTACTATTAAATTCTACCGTACTTAATGATACAATTTTTTTCAATAAACAAAAACAGGCATAAATCATGGTAAATGAGTTAAATCCCAGTAAAATCTTACGAAATCTAGACGGGCTAAATTTTGTCACATCGATTTAAAAGTTTTAAATCGTCATACTAAGCCTCATGCACATTTAAAATATCGCAATGCACGGTGTTGTAATCGAAATATCTAAATTACATAGCCTAAAATAAAACCAGACACGATTTTAAATCATCATCATTAATATGTAACGTTATATTTTAATATAAATAATCCATGTAGATTGAAGCCTCGTTTTAAATCTGTTTAGATTGTACGTGTGAGAGAAACAGTGGTCGTGTTTAACAAATAAGTAAACCGATACTGGTAACGTGCCAACATTTATGTCTATTATATCCTTTCTGATGTTATGAAGATATATAAACTTACTTAAAATGAGAGAGTATCTATGAAAAAATAAAATGAAATAAATTAAGAAGCAGTATCATAATTTCCTAAGTGTTTGGCAAAGTAAGCAACTCAACATGTTATTTCTAGTAGTGTGACGTATTTAGCATAGAAATGTATAAACTAGATATTCAGAATATTTCGAGAAACAGCCCTCTATTCAAAAGCTTATGTTATCAAACTTCTAATTATGTAATAAACATTGATCACTACACCATTTCCCCGAAAAGAGGCCGAAGGCCGCCTGTAGGGGTCACTTGTTTTAACCACTCGCACCATTATACAGTAGTGTGTTGTCTATCAATCAGTCAGTCAGTCAGTCAGTAGACACTAAAATAACGTCACATAAAGGACGCTTAATGCTGCAATTTGTACTGTAGAAACGTCAGTAAAACGTGCGTACGCCATGAATCACGGGAAGAATTAAGAAGTCTGATGGTTACAACACAGCATGACATATGAACTTCAAAAGCAAGAAATACAAATATTTGTTACTCCTAATTTCGGTTTTATTTACTCTTGAAACAGAACCCTTTCGGAGACCCGACAGAACTACGTCTAGTATAATAACATGGCCTACGTGAAATACTCGTAAAAAGAAATTACAAACTTACTTACTGGAAATTCAAGTTATCTCTTTACTTCAAGATTTGATTTGATTTTTAGGCGAACAATTGTACAGACAATTACGTCCTTCTCTACTTCCATCGGCATATATATGTATACAAAAAAGGATCGTCTTAAATCTACCCCCCCCCCTCCCTCCACAGTGGCACAACGGTATGTCTGCGGACTTACAACGCTAGAAACCGGGTTCCAATACTCGTGGTGGGCAGATAGATAGCCCTTTGTGTAACTTTGTGCTTAACTACAAGCAAACTTGAATCCACTACACTTTATTAATCATTCCAGTCACTTACTAAGTATATCAAAACAATCCTTATTACTGTATTTCTCGACTGACTATAGAGGGTATACGGCTCTTAAAATTTTACATTGTTGTGTACACATTTGTTGTTGTGCGTTTTTTTAGGAAGGGGGTCTGTTATTACATGCCTTTCGGATTATCTTGTTCAGTAAAAATGTATGTTATAGAGCTTACTTGGGTGGTTACAACTGGCAAGAATTCCACTCCATCTTCCATTGCCTAAACAGATTCTTTCTTCTGATCCGATTATTTTATAAAGCGGGAAGCAAGAAAAGGTCACTCGGTCGCCAATGTTGAATGGTGCAGCTCCCTTTCTTAATCCATTTTCTGGAACTCCTGGATCAGGACAAGTAATGACTGGATGAAAAAAAAAGAAACTTGGCTTTAATTACGTTTTCTTAATAATCCTTTTTATTTCAAGCCCCCCAGTGGCACAGCTGTATGTCTGAGGTTTTACAACGCTAGGATCCTGGTTTCGATAACCGTGGTGGGCACAGCACAGATAGCCCATTGTGTAGCTTTGTGCTTAATTACAAAAAAACTTCTTTCAAAAATATTCTTGCTTAAGTACGAAGGCGAAAAAATGTAAGTTGTTATTATGTATAACAGGGGGGAAAAATGTCCTTTATTTTTTTCAATCTCAAATAAGTTAATTTCATCTTTTTTTAAAAAAAGTTACAACCTAGGTTTATAGAGAATAAAATAGTGTACAGTATTTAAAATGCGGTTTGCGATAAATAAATAACCCTTCTTGTAGGAACTCCCCCCACTAGTGGCTCAGCAGTAAGTCTAAGGGCTTATGATGCTAAAAATTTGGCTTCGATATATGCGGGGGGCATAGCATATGTAGCTCATTATGTAGCTGTAGGAATTGGATAGTGTAATACTATTACATTAACTTTGTGTTAACAATCGTTACATTTGCTATGTATATTCTATGTTAGTTAGGGTTGTTGTTGTTTTTTGTAACAGTAAAAATCTTCCCACATCTATTAAAGGACCATAAATACACGTTAAACCCATGAGCCGCTAGCCTGGCATGACCTGGTGGTTAGTGCATTCGATTCGTAATCTTGAGATTGTGGTTACGAATCCCATCCACGAACGAACATTCTCGCCTTTTCAGACGTTGGGGCATTACAATGTGACAGTCAGTTCTGCTATTCGTTGGTAAAAAGTAATCCAGGAGTTTTTGTAGGTGGTGTTTACTAGCTGTCTTCCCTCTAATTTATCACTTTAAAATTAGGGACGCCACATCTACTTGCAGAGAAACCAATATTCTTAGTCCCCCCCCCCCCCCCGATGGTACAGCGGTAAGTGTACGGAAACGCAAACATCCGGTAGACACAACAGATAGCCCAATGTGGCTTTGCTCTGTAAACAAAACCGTAAAGAAAAAGGAGAGAAAGTCTAGCTTACTGGTCCACCAGTTCTTCTGAATGATAAATAAGGTTAATTTAAGTTAAATAAATAATATTATAATAAACAATTTGGTGTTAAAATGAATAATATTAATAAAAAATTATAAACCTAATTCCGGTGTGTAATGACTTAAATATAATTGATACAAATTACAGTTCACCAGCTTAATCTTGTTTACATTGAAACAGTTGTTGTTCAGATAATTAATGATATAAAGACCGTCTCAACCAACTACAAGGGTGAAACCTTCTGATGACCCGCGAGCTAAAATGTACTGACAAAAAAAAAAAAAAAAAGAGAATCATTGCCATTTCTGTTGTATTCCAACCGGCCTGATGAGTCCTGGTATTGGGCGAATGGCCTCATCGGCATGTGGTTAACAAATTATTACATTCATCCTAACTTTCATTCATATGCTCTTACGATAATGTGTTGAAACGTACTGAACAACGAGCTATCTCAATTTTCAGTGTAATATGAATGGGCAACTAACGTACCGTACTGACCAGACAGGCTTAACGTCATACTCTAAAATCATGTTCTAGCCAGGATTCATTTGGATCTGAACAACTAAATATGCTTCAAAACTCTGTAGCTGTTTTTTCACATGTACATACTTCTAGCCAGTTCGATACGGTGCTTAAACTGAAGAATCCAAATGAGTGTGTATTTACCCAACATTATATAATAAGATGCAAAATTGTAATCGAAAAATGATTTCCATGCGTACAGTTGCGACGTACACATCAATTTCAGTTACGTAATAAGTAGATAGTATCCAAATTAAATTTTTAAACTTGCACAAATATTTATTTCAGTATAACTTGTTAATCATCACGTTGTCGTTTTAGCACGTGCAGTTTTACGTGTTTATATATATATTTACACAAATGTACACATGTTTTAGAAAGATGCATCCTGAACAGAAACAGTCTCTATCTTCCATATCCCAAGCAGCTTCATTCTTCTGATCCGATTATTTCATATGATCTATATTTTCAAAAATTTAATTTGTGAATGTTGGCAGGAATTCAGTGTTTTCACTTTCTTTAAGTAACATGTACGTCACGAAAACATTCATAAATAATGTAAAAAGTTGTTTAACAACAGTTTGTATTACGTAATAAAATATATCATTAATTTGGTTACATCGTCTTGTTCATTATCAGAGAGTTAAATTGGAATTTTTGACTTTAGAAAAGTTTAACAGCCTAAAACTCACATTATGCTTAAATAAATACACTTGTAAATCACAACAATCATTTTATTTAAGACTAATCAACAGCGTCAAATGCTCTACATCTACATGTTTCAAATAATCTTCAACAGTGTAACAGAGCATTACAAAATCAGAGTAAAGTCACGTGCTGATAGTTTGCACTGTGATTGGCAGCCATCCAACGAATCAGAAAGTGACACACAATAAACTATTTGTAGTCATACTCTTCCAATCGGTAGTGTGGTTAATGCACTCGTGGCACCCAGGAAAGAAATGCCATGCGAGAAACATTTAGAAATCAAAATTTTGCCTGGTGAAGGCTATTTCATGCGATAAGTTATGACGAAAGTTTATTCAGTAAGAGCTGTACCGAAACTCTGAAGACGATATGTGAAACTAATACTGTTGATAACAAAAGTTGCCCAAACATGCCAAAAGTGAAGTTAAGTAACTCAGAGTACAGTATTTACGTGATACACGATAATCCAGAAGAGACCTTACCGAAATATAACCTAACCTAGCGGTAATTGCAAATGTAAATGCTACCTCCAGGACATTGAAAATATACATTAGCAGAGACTTCCCTTACTAAATTGTAGCTACTCAAAAATCGCTGCTTACAAGAGATAATCAAACCAAAAGGCTGAAATGGGCAATTAGTACTAAAAAAATGTATGATTAAAGATGGAATAAGGCGCTCTTACAGATGAATCTAAATTCAAACTGTGTGGTAACAATCAATGTATAACATCTAAAGTGAAATACACTGGGGGTACCAATATAAATATGGACTGCATCTGGGGTACCAATATAAGCATGGATTGCATCTGGGATATCAATATAAGTATGGATTGCATCTGGGGTACCAATATAAACATGGATTGCATCTGGGATACCAATATAAGTATGGACTGCATCTGGGGTACCAATATAAGCATGGATTGCATCTGGGATACCAATATAAGTATGGATTGCATCTGGGGTACCAATATAAGCATGGATTGCATCTGGGATACCAATATAAGTATGGATTGCATCTGGGGTACCAATATAAGTATGGATTGCATCTGGGGTACCAATATAATTATGGACTGCATCTGGGTACCAATATAAATATGGACTGCATCTGGAGTAACAATATAAGTATGGATTGCATCTGGAATACCAATATAAGTATGGATTGCATCTGGAGTAACAATATAAGTATGGACTGCAACTGGGGTACCAATATAAGTATGGACTGTATCTGGGTATCAATATAAGTATGGACTGCAACTGGGGTACCAATATAAGTATGGACTGCATCTGGGTACCAATATAAGTATGGACTGCATCTGGGGTAACAATATAAACATGGACTGCATCTGGGTATCAATATAAGTATGGACTGCATCTGGAGTAACAATATAAGTATGGATTGCATCTGGGGTACCAATATAAGCATGGATTGCATCTGGGTATCAATATAAGTATGGACTGCAACTGGGGTACCAATATAAGCATGGACTGCATCTGGGTATCAATATAAGTATGGACTGCATCTGGAGTAACCATATAAGTATGGATTGCATCTGGGGTACCAATATAAGCATGGATTACATCTGGGATACCAATATAAGCATGGACTGCATCTCACTTAAGCATGATTGAGAGCTATACCTACACTGCTGACAGGAACAAACAAGTCATTTTACATCAATTCATTCTCTTTGTAACAAATAATTAAGAGGTCAATGGAACCCCTTGTAACCATGAATTGACCTAACCAAATTCCCAGTATGAATAGTATTAAGGCTTTATGGGTTTATATGGGAATACAAAAGGTCAAATGGCAATCAAAAAAGTTGGCTGAATTGTGAGAAGTGGGTACAACAGGCGATTTGGAAGAATATTTCACAATCGTCCATTAATAAACTTATGGTAGCACAAAATTTAGATCTCCTACTCTGTTTCAAGCAACTACAAAATACATTGTACAACTTTTGTTTTTCTTTCGTATTTTCTCTAGGAAAATTATGCAGCAATGATGAATTGACCGTTTAATTGTAATTCCTCAATGTTTGTGACTCCTTTATGTAAATTACCTCTGCTTTTTCATAATTATTTCCTATACTGTGCAGTACACTTAATGATCAAATTTTAGCAATGTTTAATTGTTTGGGAGAAAAAATTCAATTTCAAATCAATAAAAGTATTGATTGCACAGGCCTGCAATGTTTTTAATGTCTTGGTATTTTTACATGCTCTACAGTAATTCCTGTACGCTGAATCAGAAAATAATATCCATTTTTCTCCATCACGTACAGATTTTTCACAAAACGTCATAACGCAATACATAAAAGAAAGACCACAACACGTAGTTTTGAAACTAAAAGACGTAGATTTCACACGAAAAAATCAGAATGAATGAGGATGCATATTCGTTTGACATCAATGTCCTTCCCTTTTCTTCAGTTTTTGTATTCTTGTTAACAAACGTAATAATAATAAAAACGTTCAATGTGGTAAATGAAATAATAACTTGATCTAAGTAACACTTTTTTTCTTCTCGATTTGTAAAAATATCTTTACGTGAAAGAGAAACAAACGAATATTATTTTCGAAGTCTGCGTAGCTGAATTATCCGTTATTAAAACCAAAACAAATTGTATGAAGTTTAAATTCGCAGGCCTGGGTTATCACTATGTTTATTTGTAACATAACTTTAATTTTTAGGCATTGTTTTAAAAACACTTTAATAAAGTATAAACATTTAAAAACAAATATAATATTTTCTTCGTGTAAGAGTAGAATCTTGACTAAGTAGGGATATTCCGAAAAACCTAAGTAAAGGCAGAGCAATGCTTTTTAATAAGTAGAATTCATCAAGTTTTTACAAATGAAGAACCACAATAACCAGATTATGTTACTACTTTATCTTGCACCGTTGACTTAACAACAAAGATGAAGTGAAACATTTCATCGAAATGAAGTATTTCGTTAAAGAATACATTGCCTTTTACTATCACAAATCTGCAAATTTATACCAAAAGGTTCATATAATATTTCCCCAGACATGATATAATATGTTGAAAGACATACTATGGTCATCTCCATTTCTGAAACAAGTGATATTTTCTAAGCTTAAAAAAATACATTTTTAGAAACAAAGGATATTTAACACATCCGTTTGACTTACGCTGGCAGGTTGGTAAAACACTGGACCATCCTAAATAAGTACACTTCACCCATGAGATCCCAATAAGTCGATAATTTTGATTGCAGATGAAGTTTAGTTCAAAATTTTGAGAGACGAGGGTCAGATTAGTATCCTGTAGTTCGTTGATGTTTCCATTTTCCAGGCCTTCTGGTACTTTACATTCAGTTACTATAGAAATATAACAATTAATCTGTAAAAGATCGGTATTGGGTGAAGAAAAAAATGATTGATTCTGTATGAAACTCGAAGCCACTGTTGATAAAAATCGATCGTGTTGCTTTTAAAACCATAGACCATCGAGCAGAAAAACAATGAAAACAATCTACTAAACTGCTTTGTATCGTTACTTTCTTACGTCATATCTAGGAATTACTGTTATCCATCTAACACGAAATTTCAGTAAACAATCTCAAAAACCACCATAATCCTCATTGTTACTGTATTTACCCTAGAAATTGACTTTCACAATTCTCTGTATCGTACCTACCTCCACACACAGGAAACTCAGAATCCCATTCTCCGTTTTCTTTACAGTATAAATACTCAGAACCAGATAACAGACGGTAACCCGTATCACAGTACATTTCGATTTCATCATCAGCCAAGTAATAATCTCCTGATTTCCATGAGGTCTCAATGACTTTGGATATTTTCGGCGGAGATGGGCATATTGTGGCGTTCTTAGCTAATAGACATTCAAATAAAGTAATACTTCAAAATCAATGTTTTCATTATTTAACACTCTAGATTTACAAATTAAGGTGATACCTTGAAAAGTAACCCATAAATGATTAGTGACTCTAGAAGTGTAAGGATTCACTACATTCGTATTAAGTGTTACGGCCTTTCATGGTCAGGTGGTTAGCAATCTGCGAGTCGCGAGTTCGAACCCTGTTATCGAACATACTCGCCCTTTCAGCCGTGGGTCAATTCCGCTTTTCGTTAGTAAAAAGTAGCCCAAAATTAGCGATGGGTGGTGTTGATTAACTGCCTTCCCTCTCGTCTATCACTTCCAAATTAGGGACGACTAGCGCAGATAATCTGGAGTAGCTTTCGGCGAAATTCCAAAAACAAACAAATGTTAAATGTTACCATTACACCTTAAGAAGTCCAACTAACTAGTTTCAATTATTTTAGTTTGTAGCCACTAACACTGAGCAATAACTTAATCAAAATGCAATTAATTATATTATTTCCACCACACTTAATTAAACAATGTCAGCAAAGCTTCATTCCAAAACCGCATAACTCTAAATGACATATCTGCACACGTAACACAAAGTACAGGCGTTAGTTGCTTCGTAGAGAACATTCAAGTTAGAATTGACAGCTCAGTGTCAAACTCGTTGGCATTTCGATACCGATCAACTAAATCTTCATAATTGTTTGAAGTTATACAATTAACACTTATACTATTGATGGATAGCCAAATGGTAGTCAAATAAAAATAACTTACGTCGGAATGCTACTAAAATGTTAGTATTTTGTGTGTCACAACGACAAACAACATTTCGGTCCTATTATTGTTTATAAAAATGGCGTCGCAACATTATACACTTCAAAACAGAAACATTAAAGTATTTCATTGGTAGTTCTGGTAGATTAACTACTGATTGGTCGAACAGTTAGTATATGGCTCATTTCGATTCCGAAGTGGATTCGCATTTAAGGCTTTTCTTTTTTTTTCTCTTAATTTGACGAGGCGATTTTAGGCCATTAATTAAAATTTACCATAACCTTTCATGCTTTTTAATTATTTGAAGTGAAAATGAGTTATCTCAAACAAATATTTTATGGGTTGTCTAAGAATAGAACACAAAACATTTTTGTTGTCTGGTGGTTAGGGCGCTCGACTCGTAATCTGCGGATCGCAAGTACAAATCTCGTCACCGAACATGCCCTCTCAGCCACCATGGGGGGCGTTATAATGTTACGGTCAATCTTACTTATGTTTTGTTGGTAAAAGAGTAGCCCAAGGGTTGGCGGTGGGTAGTATTGATTTGCTGCCCTCCCTCTAGTTTATCACTTCTAAATTAAGGGCGGCTAGCGCAGATAAACCCTCCTCGAGTAGTTATGTGCGAATTTCGAAAAACAAACAAACAAACCTTCTTATTTTCTAAGCTTACGTTTGCATAATGGACGAGGACTAGACCAGGCTCCACTTGGAAGACATTGAAGAAGAGGATTCCCCACAAGATCAAAGTCTTTCTTACAGGAGAATATTAACTGATTTCCTGTAAAACAACATCGTCCCTTTCTTTCACCATCGGGGGAAACTCCTGGATCCTTGCACTTCGTTTTAACTAAAAGAGATTCACATTTTGAGGTCAGTAATGTGGAAAAAGACATATAAAATTTCAATGTGCAATATTCTAGATAGTCTAAAAATGAAAATTCGCTCTGTTGTAAGTTAAACATAAAATATCAAGTGTTAATTACTAATAATTAAATATAATAAAAAGAAATCTTTGTAAATATATGCTTCCCAGGAATTAAAAACAGTAAGCTTTTTGAATAATTTTAAACATACATATACTATCAAATGTGATTATATGTACTGGTAAGATCTGTTGTTGACATATTTGAAAAAAATTATTATATAAATATATTAGCCTGGATACTGTTGTTAATTACCAAAATGATACTAAGTACACACTAAACACTGCTAACGTTCTTTGTATTCAATAACATACTGGGGGAAGGAAGAATCGCCCACTAATTAATTATTTGATAATACTTTTTAAAATGGTCATTCATTCATAATAAAAGTATCACATATACATTACAGCAAATTCATTTATTGAAGAAAATGGGAAAACAAGCTGGAATTCTTTTGACTTGATATCGAAATTGTAATCAGATCTTTTCAAACGTCACTTTTAAGGTCATATTCAAATCAGTTTTTTTTAGTTCATTTTAAATAAAGAAAATGTATTCAACACTAATTAATTGGGGCTACTTAAATTAGGGGCAACCTGAATACGAGAAAATACGAAACTTCAAATTAAGCAGCAAGATAACAAATAACAACTGTGTACTAAACAAAAATCATTAACATTAAAAAAGTTTTAAAATCGCATATCTTATTAACTTACCATCTTTCTAGCTGCACTGTAGTACTAACAACCTTGATTTGTATAATGCCTTGCAAACTTCCTAGCCTGCAAACACAAGTAGCTAAAAAAAGGCGATCTCTGGTTAAGTGTTTGGTTATGAAAGGCACTTAATTTCAGGTGTAAATTGAATAAAATTTTTAACATACGTATTCTTAGTTTTTAAAATGTCAGGGCTCAATCTAATTCCAGGTGCCGAACCTTTACTTTTCTGGCTCATTTATTCTTTTCTCATCACCTCCCTGCAGTTACTCACGACAGTTTTGTAGCCTATGTTTTTTTTTTGTTTTTTATGATTAAGGTGGCTCTTTATTGGCTATGTTCATAAATATGGTATTGTAGTCACTGCCCATTTCACCCAAGAAATGCAGTACGTGTAACAACGATAATGTCTATGACAGTCATAGCCCCTCCCCCTCCCTCTTCCTCTTCTATTTTTGTGAGGGCATCCTTTTTTGACTAGAATACAGTTGGTGTTTTGCGCTGCATCCTCCGACGATGGCTTTGATAGTTACTAATGACAGGGCAATTACAGCTTCGGTGTGCTATAAACTTATTGACACGCACGGGTTTTGAAAAGTTCGGCTCGAGTTACCGATCTAGTCAAAAACAGTATACCGAAATCGCAATTTATGTAAATGTGATATTAACTTTAATGAAAAGCCTATAAGGAGATATTATAGTTCTTTAAATACAGGGTTTCTTGGACATAATCTGCATAGATTCTTGAAACAAGTGTAAGTGTACTCAATTAATCATGACACAGTTTGTTTGTTTGTTGAAATACACGAGCGCGTATCTGCAATAGCCGTCCCTAATTTTGCAATGATAGAATTGAAGAAAGGCAGCTAGTCAAAATCACCCACCACCAACTCTTGGGCTACTCGTTTACCAACGAATAGAGGGATTTACCGTTACATTATAACGCCCCCAATGATTCAAACCTGCGATCTGCAATTTGCGAATCTAAATGCCCTAACCACCAGGCCATTATGACTCAGACTGACAGTAAAACAAGAACGCAAATGACGCCACATCACGGGTCTCATTTTATACTGCTCACATATATGCTAAACTCAAAACAGATTTTACAGATACTATTTTGAGAAATTACAATATACTGTAGCACAACAGTGTCACAGGTACAATCTTTAGGGATACAATTTTTTCATAGAGACACGATAAGAACAATGTTGATATATTAGTGTATACAGTCGCCAGTTTAATAATAGTGAATTCAATAACATTTCCAAAGATATACAGTATTGTTATCGCCCTCGCTTCAACACTTATCTATACCTAAACAATAACATTTAGGTTCTGGTCATTTATATTGAGGCGAAACTAGTTGCATGCTCGTTGAAAGAGTACGTTGTGAACAAATTAGAACTATTTTAAATACTGGTCCTAGCCACCAAGTTTCTCAATATTTTAATAAACATTACATATTACTTTCGAATGCTGGCATTATATTATGCTCCAGAAGTTAACTCAATGCGACGTATGTTTAACAAAAATTATTTACAAACTTGGCTGCTTAATATCCAGCGATTAAAAAAAACTTTTTTTTATTTAACGCTTAACCTGTTCTTAACGAAACACATTTTTTAACCTGCCTACTTAATCCACTTTTCTAATTTACTGCTTACTCTGTGTCTTGACTAACCTTTAGTTTTGGTTAATTTAACCCTAAACTAATTACACTTTGGCTTATAATTCGATTTTTCGTTGTTATTAGCACTCTGATATAGTCTGCAGAATTTTAGTTAGTTAGTTTTCATTAATACAGAGAGACATACTGTTTTTCTCTTGTTTCCTCTTCTTATTCTTCCAAACACTTTTCAATCGGCCGCCATTCTTTCATTTCTGCCCCCCCCCCCTTCCCGTGGAACAGCGGTATGTCTGCGGACTTACAACGTTAGAAACCGGGTTTCGATAACCGTGGTGAGCAAAGCACAGATAGCCCATTGTGTAGCTTTGTGTTTAACTACAAACAAACTGTATAGTTAGCCTCAGATATAAGTCCAAAATACCCAAACTCCTGTAACAGAATTACATACTAATAAAGGGGCCAAGTGCGCGGCCCAGTGGTTTAGCCTAACAGACTGTGAAGCTAAGGGTCCGTGGTTCATGTCTCGTTGCTGCTTAATTCCAAACAAGCAAACTTTTAGTCTTTCCCGCATTACCTCACGGTTACTGACTGTTGCAGCGAGATGTGATACATTACGACATTTATGTGAAGTATTGTTCTATCATTTAAATCTACACTTTTGTTTCTCTGCACCTTTTCAGTTTTGACTGTTTTACTATTCTTGTGTAAACAATACTCTGTTTATCTGATACTAAAGTTTTTTCAGGGAAATGAAATGAGGATAATAATCACTTTGAAAACAGCTATAATATGAAGATATATTCAATTTAATTATACACAAACACATAATACAAAATAAATAGACACAGGATCAAGATTATATTTTTATTTTAATAGTCAGTAACAGTAACTTGCCTTAAAAAAATGTGATACAAATTACGTTAACTGCAGATTTTTTTTCACATTCTCCTGAAATGGTACATTTCGGGTTCAATACAAGCGGTTTGTAAAAATAGCATTTCAAATCTATCTTTTGTCTCCCACAAGTCATTGTCCAAGAGGCCTTTCGTTTAATACCAGAACTTGTCAGTTAGGCTAAACGATAAGTTTATTTGTTTGTTTGTAATTAAGCACAAAGCTGCACAATGAGCTATCTGTGCTCTGCCCACCACGGGTATCGAAACCCGGATTCAAGTGTTGTAAGTCCGCAAACATACCGCTGTGCCACTGGGGGGCGTAAACGATAAGAGAAAAAAATATATCTCCTGAAGCGATGTGTATGTATGTATTTAAAGTTACGCTTAAACATCGAAAGTTGGGGAAACATTAGAAACCAATTGACCTAACAAGTGTGACAAAAATAACATTACCATGTGGAAGAAAAATCTGCAGTTAACGCTTTATTTTTTTTTTTTTGTTGTTGTTGTGTGCTGTGTTCTTTTCTATAATGCACCGTTTGAATTTTAAATACAACATTTTTACTTATCACGTTATATGTATGTTTTACAATCTCCGTCAACTCACTGACATTGTAGCTATCGTAAATAAAATTTTACTTTGATATCTTCTATGTTTTAAAATTAAAAAGTTGATTTTTTAAATTGGTAAACAAATGGAAACACCCAAAAAGAACTGTGCACCAAATTATCCAAATAATATCTGTTGAAGATATCTATCGGATTACCTTGGAAACGAATTATAACATAAACTGTTATATTAACACGTCCCTCAGGAGCCAAAGGGTGTCTTTACACTACCATTTGTTGAATATTAAAAGTAAGTTCAACCCGGAAACTCTCAACGAGGATGGTTCTGGACGTATCTTTTCGATACAAGTTGTCGTTTGTTAATTGAGAAATATTTAAATGAAATACAGCATCAAGTCTCCATACTAACTAGTAGTAACGTCTACCCGCTGGGAGTAAATTCAGTATATATCAATAAAGCCACATTTTAAGCATCATTAATTAAGCAACTGCCAACCTTTTATGCTTCTGCTATCACCTTTTTATAATTAGCTTTCAACTGAGATACGAACGATTTCACCTGCGATTCGGTAAGGAATGTTGAAGCATCACGATAGTCAGCAGTAGGATGAGCAAACAGGAACACTTTGAAAGTAGCTATAGGCATAATATTATACTCGGTTTGCTGTAGAATATCTACCAAGGTGGTTCTAAACGGTTTCTGAATATCTCTGTGTGTCATTTGGAGAGTATCATGCTTCTAGTGCTTGACCGTTAACCTCGTGATGCGCTGACGTATTTCAGTCACCTTATCACTTCAAATCACCTTTCGCAACCGTAAAATAGTGTTGTAAATGCCTTCTTTTTAACCAATAAAAATGTCCAAAAAATTTCAGTTCAGATTAAGAAAAACTGGATTGGGTAGTTTTTTTTTCAGCAAAAATGTCCTCCACTGCCTCGTGAGGGGGCCTATTAAAAATGTATTATAATCTTCTAAGCATAGTTGCGATAAAATCGTTTTGCAATACCATGTTTGTCTCAATGTGTTTGATTTTCTTATGGAATAAAGAATACTAGGCAACTTACCTTTAGCACTTTGAGCTAAATCTGTAAAAGATTCGACCAACAACAACATGAGGATACTACTAAAACAGTGAACGCTCGTCATTTTGTTTTTCATTCCTGGATTCCTAGAAATTGAAAAGAGCTTAGAAGAAAGTAAGTTTAGATTTGACAAACTGATCAAACATGTGCATTTTTTAAAATCTCCCCAAGCAAACAAGAGCTTACGACACTTTACACCAAAATTATAAAATCACAATATAATCAGTAGAAGAAATTAAACCATCGTTTTGACTTGTTTTTTTACCATATATTATTCAATCGTTTATTTATTTGAAATGTTGCTGCTTAGTCGGGGTGCTTACTGGATAAATTGTTATTTGTATGTTTTGTATATAAGTATACATCCAAAAAGAATATAAATGATCGAAGTAACAATATGACCAGTGTAAGAAAGTTAATTGAAAAACACTTAACTAATGCAAAACAAATCATACTTGAACCACGTTTTCTAATTTACTTTTCACCATGATTCCTTTATTGATATACAATGTTTTAGTGAAACATTGGCGAATGTGTGTGTGTATCAAGTACAATTACACATGCGTCTTTACAATAAGTTACATGCGATCTTTTTCCATAAATTCAATTACACCACTTATGTTCAGAAGTTATATGCGAATGTTACTATGATCGTAATTCCATCACGCTCCACGATAGCTCAGTGGTAAGCTTAGGAACTTATAACGCTAATTCTCATGGTTCGATCCCTGCAGTGGTCTAAACACTGACAACTAATTATGTTAGCTTTGCCCTAAACAGCAAGAAAACAATTATACCGCAATTGTTACCTCACTCTATAGGAATTTCTGAGGCTTTGGTGTCTCTGGTTTAGCCCAACAATATTGTTACGACAGCGAAAGTCACGTAACACGTCATGAGATTCTCGAAGGATCTTGAATTGTCCTGGCAACTCTAGTCTGTTGTATGCGCCCTCTTTTTTAGTATATAAGCCCGGCAAATAAAGCAGGAATGATATAGATAGAGAGATTGAAGATAGAGATAATCGAGTAAAGCCGTGAGTAAAGTGTGTGAATCCCTGTGAATTATAGCGTGTGTTTATAAAAGTAGTTAAGTTAACGTGACTGTGGAAATTAAGTGTATTACAAAGTTTGTAACGAGAAAGAATAAACTAGTTTTAATTACGAAAGGACTTGTATCGCTGAAGTTTCTCGGAAAGAATTTCTACGGGAAATTAACAAACAAGCAAATACGTAACAATATTAACACATTCTCTCCTCCTCAATATATTTTGTGATTGATTTATATACTTCTCAATTTTGTTTCTGCTTTTCTATTTTTATGCTAAAATTATGTCTATATTTTCGTTTTTGTTTTACTTCATCCCTTTAAGAAGATCATAAACAAATGTTCTCATTCCTTTACACAGGCCCCCCAGTGAGTCAGCTATAATTTTACGGACTTGCATGGGAGTTCGGTTCCCCGTGGTGAAGTGAATTTGTTTGTTTGTAATTAAGCACAAAGTTTCACAATGGGCTATCTGTGATCTGCCCACCACGGGTATCGAAACCCGGATTCTAGCGTTGTAAGTCAGCAGACATACCGCTGTGCCACTGGGGGGCTCCCGTGGTGAACAGAGCACAGATAGGCTATTGTAACTATACGCTAAAACAAACAAATAAAATTCTTTACGTAGTGTTACGTCTCCGTTTTTTTATTGATTTTCCCAAAACTTCGTTCCAACGAAACTTTAACGACACAAGTCCTTAC